ATAGTGCTGAAGTGCTGTTTAGTGCTTTGAAGCTCAAGAAGGCTGCCATGCGCCTTGCAGAGAAAAATACTAGATGAGCTTCATTCAGGCGTGAGTTATAGGACTGTTGGCTCTGAGTTCAATGTTAATGAATCAGCGATACATATTGAGTAAGGTGTCTTTATACAGAAACACGCATAAAACAAGGTTATGTGTCACTTGAAAAAATGTGACCAGAGGCTCACAGGAACCAAATCCTGTATTTCCCCTAGGACCAATGGTTCTATATTCCAGCATGGTTCGCCTGGTTCACGGCGAATTTTTAGAATCTAAGTACCGTGAGTAACAAGAATAGACTGTAGTTACTTTTCATTTGTCACATCCTGGGCTCTAAGACATTTGTTTCTAATGCCGTTCACAAATTCAAATCATACCTCCAACCACTTAGTGAGTTTCCAAGAGCACAAGAACTTGTGGATGAGCCTGAACATGAAACTCAATCTCAACCACTGTGATTGCCATGAGAATAGATGTAAATTGCCTTCTCATAATAGGCAGCGTGGTGTACCAGTGATAACCATGATGGTGTTGGTTTGTTGAGCAGCTGGTGGAAGCAAGTTGACTGTCTTTCTCAGAGGCAGAGCCTGAGAAGGTCTGAGTAATGGGCAACAGGGCCAACAGCTGTAAACTGTTTACACAGACAATTTGCTGGATAAACCAGAGTTTATACAGTTGGGTGTTGTTTATACCTTAAATCTAGAAAGGATCATATGGTCAACTCTGAATTTAAGAATTATGTGCTTACACCACATACTTTTCTACTAAAAAAGAAAATAATTAAACCTCCTCGCCCAATTTGCTCCCCAAGCTTGTGCTCCTACCAAGAAAAAGAAGAGAATGGAGAAGAGAGAGTGTCCACACTGAGTTGATTTGCCTGGGAAGGTGGGTCAGGAGGCTCTGGTGGATGTGATCTGCTTTGGGATGAATTAAATATACTTCTTCAGGCATCAGAAGAACACTTTACAGCCCTCCATTTCTACCTCTAGTATTTCAGACTTTTGCTTACCTAATCTGTGCCAGGGTTATAGTAGAGGTGGAGAGAATTGCCCTTAGGATACAAGCACACACTCAATTATGTGTTGACTATAAACTTCCTTCATTATCTGCTGCCTTAAGGGCTATACACTCAGAATCAAAATCCGGAGGGTTTTTGTTGTTGTTACTTTTTTTTATTAGTCTGCCACCTTGGCCTCTGCTATATGTCACCTTGAATAAATGAAATATTACCAATAACTTTAACTTTCATAGCGAGTACATATTCACTGTACTAGGTTTAAGTCAAAAAAAGAAGAAAAAAATTAAAGATCTGTAATGACTTCACCATGTCCTAGAGGTAACTACTGTTAATGTGGCTGCACATATCCCTCGAGTCTTTTTATCTTTAGGATTAAAAACATTTGGACTTAAACACATGAAACCTTTACTGTATCCCACCCACATCTCAGCATAAATACACATTACAATTTACAAAAATCTTCTAAATCCTCCAAGCTTATCGTCGTCGCTGGTTACCAAAGCTTTGGTGCAGGAGGCCCAGGGTTTAACTGGGGGAGCATGGGTGTTGGAGAAAGATAACCCTGCATTTGTACCCAAGTCTGGGCCCTGATCAACTGGATGCTGAACCTTCATTTCCCTGTCTGTAAAGTGGGGCCAGTAATACCTTCCAAATAAGGGAGGACCAAGCATGCAGAGCAGCGCTTGCCTGTGAAGAGAACCGTAATAAATGCCAATTGCCTTTCTGCTTCACTTTTGTTCCAAGGAGCTCTGTAAACATGTGGAATTGATGTTTTTTTAAAATTTCAAAAATAAGTTCTACTCTTATTTCTCTGGTGGAGAATTTTAAATCATGGAAGACTGAAACCATTGAAAGAACCACTCTAGGGTCTGAGAAATCCTTGCTATCTGTGTGGGGAATTCCAGTTACTTAAGAAGGTCCCTCTGCTTCCACAGCTTCAGCATGGACATTAGCAGAACCTGTGTTTACAGACTTCCTTTTTTTAATTAAAAGAAAAAAATCAATGCAGAGAAAACTGATTTTTCCTCATTTCTTGACAAGTGCTGAGGTGGGATTGGGTGGGGTTTCCAGGTTGGTGCCTTTGCAGCCTGACGAGTTGGGGTTTCTCTGCGTCTCCATCACACTCTCCTCTCTAGACTGCTGTTTCTTTCCAGAAAACGTGGAGTAGTGGTGGGCTTTGTTTTCCGCTGCAGCTCCTGGTTTAATTACCATCTATACCCTGCCGCTCTTACTTTTACAACAATCTGGGATTCTGTCCAGACTTTGTTTTGTGAGTTCTAAGCATTTTCACACCATCGCTCATAAACACACAAGCTCCCGTGCTCCATTTTCTGGGCTGTTTTGTTGACGTGTTTTGCCTTGCTCGGTTTTATGACTGGGCTATCCACGATTGGAATAAACCTTTAAAAGCACTAGACCTTAATCCACCTTTGTGTGAAAGCATTTCTTATAAATAAACTAATGCTTTGTTTTCTAGTAAGAAAATAAAATCATATGCACCTGGAAAAATGAAAATGCAGTTATTGGAAGGCCTTCTACTTAGCTGTCTCCCTAGTGTTGTATGTTACCCAATTAGAGTGGAAACTCAGGATGCCTGTTCCGGGTGCCGAGTGTAGCCGAGGCCAGGGGATGTGTTTCTGTGACATTTAAAGTCTGCTGGTTCAGCAGGCACTTTTGGGACAGCAAGCTCAGCACAGCTGGCCTTGGATGTCTCTCTTTCCCCCTCACCAGACAACTCCTCCGGGGCGAGCACATCTGATTGTTTCTGATTGATTCATTGACCCAGGAGGCTGGGTATGGCTGGGTGTGCGTTTGAGTGTGTGTGCGTGGCATGCGTATGCCATCAGTGCCGTGTGGAAGCATTCCGACTACTCACTGCTGGACTTTCTGCAGCAACCCACAAAGCATTTTTAAACAAAACTGTAATAATGACCTCAACGATATCAGAAAGGGCAGATTGTGTCCTTTCTGGTTGTATTTTCCTCCTTCCCATAGTCTGTATTGCTGAATTATGATGCCCATATGCAAAAAACACATCTTGAGGCCAAATAACATTTCCTTTTTTTCTTTCTTTTTTTGTAAAAAAAAAAAAAAAAAAAATTCTTCAACCTTGGCCAAGCGTGTTGCATGCTTCCATATAAAAGCAGGTACGTGCTGTGGTGCCCAGCTCAGTTTGCTGAGTGTGAGTTGAGCCCTTTAGCCGGGGTGTGCAAGCTTGTCTGCCCCTTGCAGGGGTTGCGGGGGAGTGCCCTGTGTGTGGCTGAGGTCCGCCCCAGCTTGATTTTGATGTCAACAAATAGGATGTTGGTTTAGCTCTTTGGGAGCAGGGAGGGAGGTTCATTTTTAATTAATTAATCCCCCTGTTCATTCTCCTGTGCCAGCTCCTTCCCTCCTCGGCTCCTGTGCCTGCAGGGCCGCTGTCAGCTTCTGAGACACTTCCGGCACATTAGTGAAAGGGAGTAGCGTGCAGCCTGGCAGTGGGTAGTGTCTCTGGGTGGAGAACAGGTGCCCTCACTCGGGTGGCCACAGCCCTTCCAGGGCACTGGGCTGGCGGGCAGAGTCCCTATCCACCTGGTCACCAGACACCAATAGCCAGCAGAGCCACTGCCCGCCCCACACCCCTTGTGAGCTCACAGCGAGGGCAACACTGAGCCTGCTCAGGCGTACGGCCCCCTGTGCCACCAGCCACTCATTCATTTCACAGGACATAGTGAGGAGTCAGATGCCACCAGTACTCAAGTTCTATCCCAAGCCCTTCGGGGTTCTTGGACTCTGGCTTTGTTGAGATATATCCTGGGGATTCCTGGGTCATAGTGATGTCCTTCCTGGGTGCAGAGCTAAGAGGGAGTGTGGAGAGCTGCCGTGGGCAGTATTAGCTCTGGAATGTCAGCCTGGAGATGTGTGGCCTGTGCACAGCTGATGCCCAGCGTTCTTCAGCTGTGCCTGGTCCGTCCACGGCCCCCATCCTGTTCACACGCGCCTCTCTGCCATAATAATCTCTCTCCTCTGGAGCACTGCCATCGTCCACCAGAGGCTGGCAGCCTCCTGTCCTCTGTACCCAGCCCCCTTGCTCACACCATTTTCCTGAGTCTGGTACCCTCCCGGTTGCCTTGATCCTCCCATCTCAGGGAAGGTCCTTGGGCCCCGTCATGTTTGTGCAGAGTTGCACGAGTTGGGCCGTGGGACCCATCCTCCCGAATGGCTTCCAGGCCCGTACTCTTCCAGCGTCTTTCATTGCTCCTGGGCCCCGGTCTCGTCCTCCTCAGGGCTCCTGAAACATTTTTCTGAACATTCTGCACCTTCCGTGGCCTCTGCTCTCTGTGAGTCCCGGTCCGGATCCAAGCTCACCCCCTGAGAGCATTAACCCTAATAGGGCCGGGACTGGTGTGAGAGAAGGAGGTGCCCAGGGTGCGAAATTTGAGGAGGCCCTCCATCCCTCTCAAGGTCGGCTCCTGAGAGGGACACCCTCCTTGAACCTTGGGCACTGGGTGCCTCGACTTTTTGGCCTCACCTGGTCCCAGCCCTGGATGCTGAAGTTGGACAGGTCTGGCTCAGCATCCCAGCACCAGGTGCCAGTCCAGTTGACCTTGGGAAAGTTACCTTTTCTCTCTGAACCCCAGTTTCTCTGTTGCCTCCATCCCGGGTAACGAGGACTTCATTAGATAATCTGTGTAAACCACTCAGCACGTTGCCTGACGTATGTGAAATGCTTGAGAGATGTTTGTGGTTATTATTACTATTATTATTATTATTATTAGGCGAATACAAAAGCATCACACACCAGCCAGTCTCCATATGAGCTCTGGAATGACAGGTCCAGTCCCATGGTCATCCTCGCCCCCGTTTGCCCCTCTTGATGATGTGTGATGTTGACCATGTGGATTTGCCCTGCGAGGTCAGGGCCTCGCACATTCTGAAGAGGATGTGTTTTGTGTCTCTGCTGCAGGAATTGCTTACTTAGGAGGTGTGTGCAGTGCTAAGAGGAAATGTGTGCTTGCCGAAGACAATGGCCTCAATTTGGCCTTTACCATCGCTCATGAGCTGGGCCACAAGTAAGTATCAGACTCTGGATTGTTCTGCCTCTTTAAATGCTTTTCTGAATACATATTTTTTTCACTTAAATTCTGGAAGTTCTAAAACAGTGCTGCTGAATGCCTTTGCTTCCTCTAGAGTAAGGACCTAGGCCAGCAAGCCTGGGTCCCGACCCTTCAGGGAACCCAAGAGATCACAGAACAGACTGCCTCTGAGTGTGGAAATGCTCATTTGATGTTTGCTTTAAGTCTGTTCTTAAAGCATACGCTGTAAAGGGAAGAGATTTTCTCAGTGTTGTCGTGAGTTGTATCCCCTTTCCCGAACCATCATGATCTTGATCCACTCTAAATATGCCGTTCAAATAATGGGATTTATCTTTGTGCTATTGAATTTCTGGGTGGTTGTTTTTTTTCAGCCAGTTTCAAAGTCCAACTTTCTGAAGGTAGAAGTCAGTGTCTTAGTTTAAAGAATCATCAGCTATTGTCTTTGCACATGGAAGTTCTTCCCTTGAGGAGGAAAGAACCACAGAACCTTAGAGCCCAAAGATGATGTGGAGAGAATCCGAGGCAGCCTCCTGGTTTTTTTAGATGAAGAAGAAGAAGGTCCGAGGGGTTGAATGGCTGGCCCAAGGCTGAGATCACCTGCAGGAAGTCTCAGGGGGCAGAAAACCAGCTGACTCTCAAACTGTGGCCCGAGGGTTTACTCTTTCTCCTGGAGTAGGTGTCTGTTTTATGTTTCTCTGAAGGAAACATTGTGATATGACTGCTTAAGAACTTTAAATAAATAAATTGAGCAGGCCAAAGCATGCAAAACAATGGAAAAATTTATATTGGACCGAAGAGAACAAAATTAAATGGAAATCTAGTTCTTGGGGAAAAATATATATTGTAAAGTTTTCCCAGTGCCCGAGATAGTAAAATGCCTGGAACCCTAAAGGTGAACTCAAGCTTCTGGAAGAGTAGAGGCAATGAATAAGGAGTACAAAAGCAGTTGTTTTCCCCTAGTATTAGCCATATCTGTGGCTTGATGTTTTTACCTTGCTTTGTTTATCTGGTCCCATTTTAATTTTTTTCACTCCTGTAGATGGGTTTGTTGTTGACTTTTCTGTACCTGTTGGCTATCATGATGTGAGTACAGAGAATGAAAATAATCTTATATGTATTTCCTGGGACTAAGGGGAAAATAACATGTTATTGGCCAAGAGAAGCAAGATAAGTGGTTATCTCTACGTACACATTTATTTCATCTTGACAGTATTTCAGAAATACCCATACTAGTTTGCCTACACTACTAGAAAATAATTTTTAAAAATTATTTGTAATCAAATTTGTATTCATATCTCAGATTTGTTAAAAAAAAAAAAACAACTAGAAAACCCCACCCAATAGTGGTTGCTGAAAGAAAAGTACAAATGAGTATGGCTTTGGCAAACATCTTCTCACTATCAAATGCCCCACCCAGCCCATCGTAGTACAGCGGAATCAACTCCCTAACAGTTGTGAGAATGCAGAGTTGTCAAAACATTTCCCAGCACGCAAGTTGTGCGGACCTTTGAAGAGATACATTTACGTGAACTGCTGCATCCCATGGCAGCAGTCACCTCCGCAAGTGAGCACACAGGGGCTGCCTTTTCTCCTTGGGCATTAAGAACAAAGAGTGCCGTTCCTCCCTGATCTGTGCGGTTGTGCTGTATCAAACACTGGCATCTTAACACGGGAGGTCTGCAGATGAATGATTAGATTCAGTCATATTCCAGTAGCCTTTAGCTACAGTCTGTTTAGAATTTCTTGGAGGACTCTTTATAGCTCGCTACTGAACTCTAATTACCTGCAAAAACAAACACTGTATTGTTAATCAAAGCCAATAAATCCTGGTAGCATTTGGTCCTGCCCCTAGTTGGGCGATTATAGTTTTCCCAGAGAAGTCTCTTGTCTCTGATTATTTGAAAGTGTTGGGAAGCAGATCCCCCAAGGATGAAGCCACAGTCTCCCTATCCACGGACCCCTCTGGTCACCCGGCTCAGAGCAGCCAGAGAGGCTGTGCGGAGGCTTGGGAAGGTTGAGGCCAGCCTGCACTCTCAGGAAAGCCACTGGCCAGGCTCCTTCACAGATGTGAACCTGGAAACTGTCTATATTTTGGAATAGGGAGGAGTAATTTAACTCCACGTTTCTTAAGTGTGTGTGAACTGAGATAGGATGGATGGTTTTCTCTGTGGACCTGAGCCACTGGTCCATGCTCTCCAACAAAATTTCTTGGTGAAAGTTTTAGAAAACAATAAAGAACACCCCTCTGTGTAACCCTGGAAAATCCCCAGAGAGCTCACCCTCCAGTTCCTAACCATTTAATACTGAAAAGTAAAGATCTCTTTTGAAGGGTGTGTGTGTGTGTGTGCCTTTGCACGTGGGCATGCATAGGTGCAGCCCTTCTGCTCTGTACTCAATATACCTCCTGTAAGGAGCAGTGTGAGCACTTACCCTCAGATCCCAATGTTAGGAGAAAAAGTCACTTTCCGTAGGAGCTACACATGCCGTTTATCAGATGATGAGAGTTGCGTAAGTTAACATGATTTCATTTTTGCTCTGGCTTTCAGAAAACACAAAGCTAAGTGTAAGGCTCATTTTTAACATTTAACTCATTGTAGTACTGGAATTTTTCTCCCTCTTTCTAGCATCTGTTTGTATGCATGGTTTTATTTCAAATATTGTAGTTCAAAAATAATTTATTTGGTGCTGTGAACTGGCTCCAATCTAATTTGCAGTAAAATAAGTTCTAAATTATAAATTAAATGAAAAACTCTTCCCATGGTAACATCAATAATGCTGCTTTGGATGTAGGTTAACTATAAAGTAATGATGTTTAAGTCAAATCAGATCTCATTTACTGAGCACCTGCTATGTACCAGGTACTATGTTAGATGCTGTGCATTCATTGTATTATTGAATCAGTCCTGTGAGGCAGGTATTATTAGCTTTTACTTTATAGATTAGGAAACTAGTATTACTTTAAAAAATTTTCTAGTCTCTACCTAAAATGATTTGGGATCACTTGTATGATAATATACCCATGCAACAGGGCCATTAAAATAAGGATCCAAATTACAAAATATAGGTAATAAAGAAGAGAGCTTGTTATTATCCAAAAACCAAGGTACTTTCAGTTTGTCAGCAGCCTAGGCAGAGAGGGCAAAAAATGGCATGATACAGCTGGCTGAAGAAAGCCAAATGTGTCCTCAACAGGGGTTTCCCTAGGAAACGCAAGTACTGTGGGTGAGACTGGCAGTTTTCTGAATATCTACCCTGGTAAAGAAGTAGGGTAGAAAAGACTCCAGCCGTGGCTTTAGACAGGAACTGAAGGATTTGCAATTCCCAATGGCAGTCGTGGAGGAGACCCTGGGAAGGGGCTGTTCTGTGTTCCTGCCTGGAGGATGAGCTGGGTCTGTGGGGCAGCCTTGCTGACAGCAGCTTTGGGGTTTTTAAATGAACACCTATGACCTTAGTTACCTTCTTGCCCATGAAAGGCTGCCAGGTAGGCGGCTGCCCCCCATCTTTTGGTTCACCTAGTGTGAGCTTTGGAAGGCACCTGTCTCCCTGTCTTGTTGTGGTAGCTTGGGAAACCCAGCGGAAAATGAAGCTGTTTTTGTGCCTTTCTTCATCCCAGAGTGACCATGAGAAAGCGATGGTCCTGAGCATGAGAAGATGTCTTTGATGGACCTCTTTCACTTTAGGGGGCCATAGTTGCCGCTGTTGTTGGTTATGATGGAATCAGTGACATGGGGGAAACAGCCCAGCTGGGCCAACTCTGCCCAGGTTTTTTAACTCAAGAAACCAGGATGCCTTGTGGTGGACCTCAGTGTCCAAGATGTTTATCACTATTTGATTTTAGAGAGAAAGGGGGAGAGCTCGAAGCATTCATTTTTCTCAGGCAAACTCAACCCTGATTGCTCATGGGAAGAACTCTCCTCAGAAGCTCAGGTACATGCTGACTGCCCATGAGAAAAATAAAAAAAAAAGTCAGTGACACCCTAATGATCAAGGAGAGCTTAGGTAGTGACGTGATCAAGGAGAGCTTAGGTAGTGACGTTAGTATAGCATTAAAGTGACTGTGCCTAATACGTCTGTTGGATTTTTAGAGGATATTGTTTTTAGAGGATATTGTTTGCTATGATTTGGAATTTTTATAGTGTAAGAAAGAAAGTAAATGGTTCTATGAAAATTGGTTAGAGTGCCTTTTGCTTTGGGGAAAGTAGGTCTAATACAGCATGATAAGGCCCAGGGGAGACATTTGATTGACAAGAGCTCTCCCTAGTGCAGTTGGAGGCCAGGAGGGCACAGAACCAAGTCTCAACTGGTTGTTTGGTGCCTGGGGAAACCCAGCGTGCTTCTCAATCAGGTAAGACAGTGCCTGGGAGGTGTTTAAGCACAGGGCTTGCAGGTGGGGTGGGGAGAGAGGGGAGGGACTCCACTTAATGCATACTCGGCCACCCACTCAGAAAAACAAAGAGCTTTCCCTTGCAGAAAATAAATCTCTGCTTCTGTCGGATTTAGAGCTCTGTTAGATAAGCCTGAGCCAGATCAACACCTGCCTTGAGAGTCAGTCCAAACCATGTGACCTCTCCAGCTCCAGACAGGCCCCAGAGCCACACCCCATGTTCAGGCCCTCACTACCTGTACAGGGGCTGCGCCTCTCCCCACCTGCTCTTCCTGGGGTTTTTCCTGACTTCCATATGCCCTTTCTTGGGTCTTTCCATTCTGGAATTTACCTCTCCTCTGGTCAGCTGGATCTGCCTGTGGCCTCTGAAAAATGCTGTCTTCATGGAAGCTTGGGAGCCCAGCAGATGTGACATCGGGGCCCCGCCTCAGGAGAGGAGCCTCTGAGGCACTTGGAAGTGCCTGTGGCCAAGCCTCAGCCTAATGAGTTAAACCACCCCCTCTGGGGGAGGGAGCATCTCGGAAGCTCTCCAGGAGATGCCAGGTGCAGCCAGGGTGGAGCTGCCACCAGCATGAGGTCTAGACCTTTTATT